TAATATCATTATATAATTTTTCTTCTTTAGCCTGTTAATATGTTACTTTGAATGATTTTCAAATATTGAACCAGCCTTGCATTTCTGAAATAAATTCCACTTGCTCAAGGTATAATTGTTTTTATATATTGGTTAATTCTACTTGGTATTATTTTGTCAAAGATTTTTGTATCTCTATTTATGAAGGATACTGCCTGTAGTATTTTATGTTTTGTGTCTTTGTCTGATTTTGTTGTTAGAGAAATACTAACTTCATAAAATGAATAGGAAAGGGTCCCCCGTCTTCTACTTTCTAGAAGAGACTGTGCAAAAATGGTGTTGATTCTTCTTTAAACATTTGGTAGAATTTTCTAGTAAAGACATCTGTATCTACAGATGTCTTATTGTGAGTCTTTAATTACAGATTTGATTTCCTTAAATGTAATAAGACTATTCAAGTAATCTATTTCTTATTTGTTGAGTTGTGGTAGTTTGTGTTTTTTGACAATTTCATCAAATTGTCAAATTTATGTGTGTTGAGTTGTTCATAGTATTTATTATTCTTTTCATGTTTGCAGGGTCTTTAGTGATATCTCATGTTCTATATCTGGTATTGGTAATTTGTGGCTTCATTCTCTTTTTCTTTATTAGACTTGTAGATATTTGTTGATTTTGTTTATCTTTTCAAAGAACCAGCTCTTTGTTTTATTAATTTTTTCTATGTTTTCTTGTTTGTAAATATCATTGATTTCTGCTCTTACCTTTATTATTTTCTTCCTTCTGGTTGTTTTGGGTTTATTTTGTTCCTCTTTTCTTAGGTCCTTGAGATGGGAGCCTAGACTCTTTCTTAATGTATCTATTTAGTACTATAAATTTTCTTGAGATGTGAGACTTTTCCGATTTCCTAATGTATCCATTTAGTGCTATAAATTTATCTCTCAACATGCTTTGGCTGTGTCCCACAAATTTTGATATGATATACTTTCTTTTTCATTCAGTTTGATACATGTGTGCATGCATTTGAATGTGTGTGTATATACATATATAGAGATATATAAATAAAATATATATAAAATTTTCCTAGAGACTTCCTCTTTGATCTATAGGTTATTTAGAAATATGTTGATTGTATTCCAACAGTTTGGATATTTTCCTGTTATCTTTCTGATATTGATTTCTAGTTTGAATCCAGCATGATCAAAGAATAAACTATGATTTCTATTATTTAAATTGGTTTAGATTTGTTGTGTGATCTAGGATTTGGTCTATCTTGGTATTTATTCCATGGGTACTTAAAAAGAATGTGTAGTTTGCTGTCATTGGGGATAGTGTTCTATAAATATCAATTAAATCTTTTCGGTTGATGATGTTAAATTTTTCTACCTGTGTTGATTTTCTGTCTGATTGTCCATCAATTATTGAGAGAGAGGTGTTAAATTGGGGAGAGCTCAGAAATTGGAAATAGAGATAGCTTGGAAGGGAGGAGCATCAGTTGGAAAGTTCTCTGTACTATCTAATGATAATCTGAAATATGCAACTGGAATGCACAGGCACAAATCAGATCCAAAGCCCAAACATATACTGTTCATTACTCAACAAGACATATTTGTGCATATGAGTTAAATTATCAGCCTCGAACTTATGGCAGGAGATATGGAAAAGAGGGGATACTTTTGATAGGTAATAGGAAAATAGATTCCATAGAACGTAATGACCAATAGAGTGTGAGATGTAAAAATAATGAAATCAGAATCATCCACAGATTTTTAGTTTGGATTACTTATGTGGATGGAAGTTAACTTTAACAGAAATGTAGAGTGCACAGGAGGAAATATGTTTTGCAAGGAGGAGTGGCGATAATGAGCTCAGTTGATGTCATGTTGAGCATAAGTTGTGTATGGACCATCTAAAGATGTCTAATAATAGTGGATGCTCAGCAGGAAGGTCAGATATATAAAAGGGATTTAAAAGCCTTAATTCAATTAGTAAGCCTAAATATAACTGCATGGAGATTATCTAGGAAATATAAACAGAGTAAGAAAAGAGGGTTAAGAACATGATCCCACTAAATCTCAATTTTTAAAAGAGAAATAAAGAGAGGAAAAGGAGAATAAGCTGTCAGAGAGGAAGGAAAAGAATGGAAAATAGAGTTTAATTTAGTTCCATGAGTATTTATTGAGTTATTAGTATGCGTTATGCACTGTGTTGGGAGACTGGCTATTGAGGCTCCTACATTCTTCTAGATGTAAACAGATCATTTCAGTACAGTGCGGGCCAGCTATGCTCTGGGGTCAATGTGCCCACAGAAAGGGGCACTGAACACAGCCTAAAACTGTGAGAGGAAACTTTTGAGAGATGATAACTCTAAGCAGAGTCTTCAAAGATAGTAGGTATTAACCAAGTAAGGAAAGACAGAGGGAAAGTCACACCAGACAAAAGAAACAGCGTGAACAATAGCAAAAGAGCCTGGAGCTAAAGAAAGAAGAGAGAATTATCTAAAAGAAATAGCCAGCAAGGCTGAATGCCACTAAGAGAGAAAATGAAAACAGATTGAAAAAGACCCTTTGACTCTTTTACTTATGAAGCCTCTGGTTACCTCTGCTACAACAGCTTTTATGAAGTGATGTGAACAGAAATCAGACTGCAATGAGATGAAGAATAACTGAGAGAATATGAAGTTCAGACAATGTGTTGGGGGGAGTGTTTTTTCAAGCAGCTTAGTAGAGAAGAAAATAAAGATGAGATAGCTAAAAATGAGCAAAGGTCTAAAAGATTTTGTTTTTTGATCAGAAAGAATTAAGGACACTTACCAGTTATAGAAAAGAAACCAGAGTGCAGAGAAAAGATTTGAAAATGCAGCTTACTTCATTCAGTCATTTACACAACAAATATTTATAGAGCATCTACACTATCCTTAAACATATTCCATAAAGACAAACAACCAAGCACCCTTCATAGGGTTAACATGATGTTTTAAATAAAATTGAGAAACAATAAAAGGTCAATGGTAAATAGCACAAAATAGTATTTATCTCAATTAGAAAGGCAGCTTAACACGTATAAATATCAGTACTTAAAATTATACCGCCATCTTTGGCTTTTTAGCATTTATGTAAGCCATGCCATAATTCAATATAAATATTCAGTGTTGAAGTTTATTTTGTTTACTTCAAGAGAAATGATCATTTTAATAAAAACATTTATTCAATTGTAAGGATTTTGGTAAGGAACAGATTTGCCAAGATTATTTCGTTTTAATGATTAAAAACAACCAAATACATATCAAATCTGCAAAGTAAAAAAGCACAACACAAAAGATGTAGAATAGTATATGATGGTTTAATTTTTGTGTCAAAGTCTGCCTTAATATCTCTCAGTATTCAGAGACAGAAAAACAGCCAGTTAATAATGAAGGAACACAAATGGCTTTTAAATAGTCATGAAGACTGGAGAATTTCAGAAAGACAGAGAATAGTCTCATATTTTTTCAGAATCATTGAGGTGCAGCATTTTAAGATTGTAAAAACTTTGACATCATTTAATTCTGTTCTCCACATCCCATATATAAAATTATTTTCCTCACATTCCTTATCTGATATTAAGAGACAACTTTATGTGAAAGAGAACCTTACATTTGAAAAGTTGTCTATTCTACTATGAGACATTTAAATTTGTCTATGATTATTCTCAAAATATAACTTTCTATAACTGTATTATAAGACTACTTTCATTTTATGTAGCAGATCACTCAATATCAAAAGACACTTATATGCACATTAAGTATATTATTTCTCAGACTAACCATTCCCAGTTCCTTCATTTCTTTCCTGTATGACATGATTTTCATCTAAGCCCCCTTTTTTTGAAATGATTTCTAGAAAGTTAATGGTTTTTTATCCTCTCCATTAAACTGAACACAAATTTTCAAATGTGGAAGAGTAAAGTAAGATTATACCATTGCATATGGTGAGTATTTTTTTTAAAAGCAATCTTACCAACTGCTTATTTTTGAGCTATGAACAATTATAACATCCAGAGATTTAACCACACAATTTGTGATCAATCCAAGTTTCACCTATTTTATTTCTACCTTATTTTTATTTTTATTTTGGCATATTATGGGGGTACAGATTTTAAGGTTTCAATAAATGCCCTTTATCTCCCTCCCCCCACAAGTCTGAGTTTCCAGCATGACCATCGCCCAGATGGTGTACATCTCACTCATTATGTATGTACATAACCGTCCCCCTCCCCCCTCCCACCTGTCTACCTTATTTTTAATCTACGTGTAAGACTGTAAAGATTTATATATTTTTTTCTCTTGTTGGTTTTGTCCCAAATGTCCAAGATAATTTTGGATGACAATTTAGCAAACTATCATATTTGCTATCCCTATAAGAATTGGATCTCCTACAAGTCTCATAGGTATGTTTTCTAAGTCTTCATATAAGACATTGATAAAATTAAATAGAATAGGCATGAGGGAAATTTTCTAGTATACATACAGAAACCTTATTCCTAGGTGACATTAATCCATGTGTTAGAATTTTCAAGCTGTTACTTATTTAGCTATGAATCTGGTCAGTCTGTATTTCTCTCCCTTATACACAAAGCTATTATCAGAGACCATGGAAAATATTTAGCTAAACTTGAGACACCATACCTTTGTAAATTCATTAATACTATAAAAGCACAAAAAGGTGAATCTATGTTGCTTGTTTTATGATAACTATTTTCTTTTCTAGGACTCTAAAATCAATATCAGTTTGATAATATTTTCTAGAAATCTTCTAGGGATAGACATAAAGTTTGTTATTTTAATGTTCTTCAGAATATAATTTCTACTGACTTTGTTCTTCAATACAATGGAAATAGCTGGCTATTGTTTTCTACATGTCCCTTTTTTTTTTTTAAATCATCCTTTTAACTGGAAGAAGATATAAAAATATCCCCTGTCCCCATCCAAATTTTTCTGTTCCTACTCAGGACTGATTATCTCGATGTGGTATTAATTTTATTACCTCATATAAAACTGTTGTGTTTCCATGTATAAGAGGTCCATAACAGATATAGGAATGTCCAACAACCCAGCCCAAGTCAGAAGCTGCCCACCACACCTAAAAAATAAAAAGATAATAAAAATGAATATATCTTAATCAGAGAAATGTCATGCAATATAAATTGAAAGTCATGATTACCTCTCCAGGTTTAAGTCCATATATAGAGGACATTGTCCAGTTTAGCATCACAGCATACCCCCCAGTGGGCCTAACCACACCCTAAAGGAGAGAAAAAGTGAAGTTAAAAGCAGTAAACAATGTATGGAAAGATTCTCTATCTTCATACTATCTACTTTAAAAGTTCCTTGTTTAGTGAATTTTATATTCTGAAAGCTACAAATTACTTTGACTTTTATACAGTTATCTTTGAATCATTATTTCATTGGCTCCTCCAATAGTCAACACAAAAGAATTTGTCCCTATCACTACCATGTGTAGAATCCATTCTCACATAAAATTCTTGACCTTCTACAGAAAACTTACGATTTCACAAAATCACATGCAATAAAAATTTTTCCAGTCAGAACACACATTGTCAACCCCACATTTTCAGATGGATTTCCGGGAAAAAAAATAGAAACTGTCAAAATTAAGTGCACAGAAGGGTAGAATGTAGTTATGTACCTAAAATACATACTCACCTAAGGACATATATCCTTTAATATGATTAAATAATAACAGGCTATTTAGTGGAAAGAAAATCATATTCTAAGTAGAGTCTGATTGTAATGCAATACAATGCAATGTAATGTAATGTTCACTTGGTATCATGCAAGCACAATATTAGAGCTGAGCAATTCTTCAATGATGAATTCAGGAACACTTTGGAATGAATATCAGCAAGTTAAATCTAAGGCTAACAGATTTGGCCTGTATTGCATTTGAACAAAAGTGGGTATTGTTATATCATTGTAGTACAGCTTTTTACAAATCAGTTTCAAGTAGCTATTTTCAACATTGGAAACATATGTAACTTCAATACAAGATTAATATTTAAACACATGAGTCACCATCATTAAGAACTGATGTTAAATTTAAGTTCATTTATCGCTTCATTATAAACATTAATCATTATTGGCTCAATATGACATAATCATGTGAATATTCAGAATAAGCGGGTGAATGCATGCTAAGAAATACAAGGTATATTCCACTCCTGTGTATTTTGAAGCATCTTTTAGTATAGCAGTTATAAGTGTTCTATGTGAAAAATAATTGTTTTACATAAAAGGGCAAACATGGATCTAATTAATAACTGTGCTATTAGTTGTACTTTTTCAGCATAGCTCTGCAGCTTTAACACACATACATGAACCAGGGGAATGAAAAAGAAATTGACTTCCTGTTAGTTACTAAAATTGCTGCTCTCCTCAGGTACCACTAATAAAACCTAGGTATCAAGCTGTGGAACATATTTTATCTACCAGCGACAACACCATGTCTCTTAGCAAATATCAGAGGCAGCTTTGTTGGCATTTGAGAGCTGTTTTCCAGGTTTGCATGACATGGTTAGCATGCAGCTGGCTCTCTTGATCACGTTGGGAATATTAGCAATCCTAAGCAACCTGCCAGTAGGCTTCACACATGCACTTTTCTGCATGAACTGAGCAGATATTTTCCCACTATTTTATATCCTATCTGCCATGCACTTTGTCCTATCATTTCCTATTGCTCAGTAGCTTGATGAATTTGATGTTAATCAATTTGCAAGCACTCTTTTAAAAAAATTTGTACTCGTTTTTGCAAAGTAGAAAAAATACATTTTTTAATAGACAATGTGCTGTCTATGTGTTATAGTGGACAGTGATGCTTAATGTCAGTAATGATTTTATTTAAGATATTTTAAAATTTTCTCTTCAGCCTACATGTCCCTGCATTTGGACATTTTTATCCATAACTCTAAATATTATTATAACTGAGTAAATTTATAGATTAGATGATACAGAGGGTAAGAAACATCGACTGGAAATGATGGCAAGAAATAAAAGGCTAAGGGAGACATAACTGAGTAGTACTCCAATTGTAAAACCTAGAAGATAAATTCAAAGGATACATTATCAAATTTCTAAGTATCACTCAGATGAACACTTCTTCAAAGGACATTTAGCAATGTGACTTTGTCTGATAAATTAGAGGATAGTTAAACCCATCTGACCAAAAAACGTAAAACTTAAAAATGAGACTCTGCATGAAAAAGCATTTAAGATTATGAAGGTTAAAATTTAATATCATATTAACACTATTATTTCCTTAGCTCTCACAATTATTGCCTTTTATTTTACCCTCTGCTGATATTGTCCAAAAAGCATAAATGTCAAAATAATTAGAGGTTACCATCAAAGATTCTCATTAAAACAATTAAAATGAAGCTGAAAGAGAGTGAAAAGCCATAATTTCTGTCTTTTATTGGTCTTTGATATCAACTTTTATTTACTAAAGATGAGTATAAAAATTTTAGTCAAGTGTTATTTTATCATTTATTAATCTAGACTCTATGTCTACAATTTGGTCTTCTCTCTGAGAATGTTCAGATGATACAATTTTCAAATTTATAAGTATTTGATATAGTGTAGAAAAAAGAACTGCAGTTTCACATACTCCACATACATCTTTTATAAGAAGTTTGAAAGTTAAAACAAAAAGAAAGATTTTCTTTTATGAATATTAATTTGTGACAAAAGTAAGATGATAAAGCAGTTATTTTTCTTGTTTATAATCATATTTTCCAGGTAATAATAATTAAAATGCAAAAGAGAAACAGTGTTCAGCCTCTGAAAACAAATAAATTATGCTCCAAAAAACAAATCAATATATTCTAAGTAAGCAAAATTAATCAGAAACCAAAAGTATCATTTTTATAATATATCTCAAATACTGAGTATAAAGTAAAAAATTCTTATTCAATACCAATGCTTGTCTCTAAAATAGAAGCATAGTACACTTTCATATTTTAGATCTCTATTATTACTTTCTATGTGTACTTTACCTACTTTAAAAGTAAGACATTAGGACCGGGCACAGTGGCTCACGCCTGTAATCCTAGCACTCTGGGAGGCCGAGGTGGGCAGATCGCTCAAGGTTAGGAGTTTGAAACCAGCTTGAGCAAGAGCAAGACCCCATCTCTACTAAAAATAGAAAGAAATTAATTGGCCAACTAAAAATATACAGAAAAAATTAGCCAGTCATGGTGGCGCATGTCTGTAGTCCCAGCTACTTGGGAGGCTGAGGCAGAAGGATCGCTTGAGCCCAGGAGTTTGAGGTTGCTGTCAGCTAGGCTGACGCCACAGCACTCTAGCCTGGGCAACAGAGTGAGACTCTGACTCAAAAAAAAAAAAAAAAAAGTAAAAAAGTAAAGACATTAGGTGATCTAATATATTCACTGAAAATCCCTGCCACTTGCCAATATATGTACTGGGTTTTGTGTAGGATCAGTAATAATACTTATAATCTTCTGAAGACCTTGAAAAACTTCTAGGTGGGAATAGCACTCTGTGCCCCAAATAAAGACATGAAAGTGAATCTTATCTCACAAATTGGAAAATAGATCATCTGAAAGTGCTTTTATTTTTGACCACATATACTGCATATGGTATTTTTAAAATTCAATTTGTACAAGTAAAAGAAAGGCTGTTTATTAGTTACTCAGGAATATGGCCACAAAGTTATCTCAGTGCTTCTTTATGATTTTCACCTTAATGCTCTGCTTTTGAAGACAAGGAATGTCATAAATTGCCATGAATGGGGCCATTAAAATAAAACAGAAAACATGTTGGTATCAAGTGTTGTGTGCAGTTTTGGCTGCCACAACTTATAAAAGAAAAATACAATTGCACGATAGGTGTTGGAGAGGAAGAGGAGGGAAGACTGAAGTGTGTGGTAAGATTAAGAGCTTGGGATTCTTCGTTGTAAAAATGTGTTTTAGTTATGTTTAAATTTGTCTATAAAAATCTGACAGAAAAATCTCAACACACTGTGGCAAGAGAAGTTTGGAGTAAATGACAACACTTCATACTTCCTAAGTTGAGCCCCTCTATGATTTACTTTGTAATAAAAGCTTATATAAAGCAAATATACATATTTATATACATTAAATATATATTTATTCACATATACATATGTAAATACATGGGTGTATATATATACATGCGTATGCATATACGTATATGCATATGTTTATATAATATGTATGTGTGTGCTCATATGTATATGTGTGCACATATGTATATGTGTGCACATATGTATATGTGTGCACATGTATTTCATTTCAGCCTGACAAGTTAAGAAAAAAAAAGGGAAAAATAAATATTACACTTGAAGAAAAGAAGAGAAATCTATCACCAAATGTTTGGCATTAGAGTTGAGAAATACAAGTAATAATTCTGATTATTTGAAAAATTCAACACATCAGCAATAACCTTGTTTTGGTACTGGCTTTAGAGACAGCATACCTTATTTCAAGAATAAACCTCCACCCCTTTTCTAAAATTAATTAATTCCAACTTCTTCTCAGGAGTACTTAAAGACCTTGCAAAAGTGTCACCTCCTCTGGGAAGCTGTCCTCCATCCTATGGTTTGTGTTCAGTGTCTCTCAGGTCCTCTTTCATAGCCCTCAAGTCCTACTAACCTCATCAGAACACTGACACCCACATCGTGCTACTCCACCACCTTGACTGGGTATGAGCAGAATGTCTTTGTGTCTTCAGCACAGTGAATGGCATGGAATAGGCATTTAATACATTTGCTGAATGACTAAACGAGTGAACAGATGGGTGAAAAAGCATACATGTGAACAATGCAATTCTTTTAAAAAATACTCTTCTGTCTTCAGAAGAAACTCTTGAAACTTGTAGAACTTAGTGACTCTTCTTAGAAGACATAGAATGTTTCCATTTGGAATATTTCATCAAACATAAAATCTCTTGCTACAGGCTTTTGGATAATTGCTGACACTACATCTACGGAGAATACTTTAGCAGCTGTATAATTTGTATTGATCTGAACAACTATGAGATAAGGGGCAAAGGTGTAGAAAGTTCAGCATTTTAACTGCAAGAATTGTATCACAGAATAAAAAAAATAGTTCACTGCTTTTTTTTTTTTTTTCCATTTGAATTTCTCTCATTTATCCACCTTGGGCAGGGCATATGAATAAGTCACCTACCAAGTAGGAATAAAAGTTACACAAGTTATTTAAATGCACATCAGGACAAAAACCCTATCTACCACCTTCTTGTCATGCTTTTCTTTCAATCCTTTCCTTTTTTTTTTTCCTTTCACCCTGTTCTCCTTTGACACTGAACTTTTTTGTTTGCTTTTCTGTCTTTGTTGTTGTTATTGTTGTTGTTGTCACTGGCCCTCCATGGTATCAAACTGGAGAAGATAAATATTATCATCACTAAATCTCCCACTCCCAAAAAGACACCTTATCCAGAGGAAGGATTCTTTCTGGCGCTTTAAACTATCTTAAATGCAGACACCCAAACTAAATAAGGTAGAAGCTCACAACAAAACAGAAATGTATGCACAGCAGCTCAGCTGTGGTTGCTGGCATATTTGCAGCAGCTAACAGATTAACCTGTCATACAGCAGCCTGACAACTCCAGGGCTGGCAAATGCAGAGACAAAAATATGCCTGAAATATATCTGTAAATTCTAACCAAACCAAAGAACAGACTGCCTTATGTGTCTCTTATATTTGCTTCCGAGAGACAAGCATTTTTAAGTAGAATATTTTTATGAGCTTCCAACATTATTTTTCTTTATGAAGATCAAAAACCAAGAAAGCAAACTATATGATGACAAGAAATTTATATCTAAATGATTCATTAATGCATGTGTCTCATATTTCCTGTGCTTCTATTCTGGGGATCCCAACATTAAGATTTCAGATGCTATTAATCCTGATTATACCTACTGAAAATGAAACGAGAATGTATGAAGAAAGAGGAGTCTAAGGAGCTGACTAATGGGAGAAGTAAGAGATCATTCAACAAATATTCTGATGATCTACTATGCTCAGATTTTAAGATTTAGTGCCATAGTAGATTCAAGGAAGTATGAGATATATTCTAAGAATATTTAATATTATAAACACAAGTAAATAAAAACTAATATGTATAAAGTAGGTTTAAATAAGCAGCATGAAGGTTTGATAGCAATGTGTAATTTCAAAGCAATTGAAATTCTATAGCCCACTGCAAGGAAGAGGAACCTCGAGAGACGATGACCTCATTTTGGCATTCTGCATGTTGTACTTTGCAAAACCCACTCACTCCCATGATTTAATCACCAGCCCTCCAAGCAAATGATCTACAAGGGTCTATCTCCAACCCCATATGTTCTTCTTGGGCTCACACTCTCACTTCCAACTATTGACTGGGTATCTTCATATAAATGTCCAAAAGATATACCATACTCAGTATGTTCAAAAATGTCCACCTTCCCTAGTCTCAAATCGTCCTCCAGTATTTCTATTTCAGTGAGTATACAAAACCACCCTCCTGTGTTCTCAGGTTCAAAGTCTTAGATATCTCCTCTATCTCACTCCTAACCTCGAACCAAATATGACTCCTTCATATTAAGTGTGCTGTCCTAAGTAAAGTCCTAAACTAATTAAACAGCTCAAAAACTAACTTCCTTGCCTCCATTGTGTGTAATCACCAATCTTTCCAATAAAAGGATCACAGTCTATCTTGCATTACCTGTGTTCATACATATTTTAACCTCATTAGACTAGAAGGACTGAGGTTTACTCACAGATTTATCTGTCCTAGCTCAAAATGAACAATCAATACACATGCCTTGAATTGAGTCAAATTCAATGTAAATACAAAAATTTACAATTAAAGCCCTCTCCAATTTATTGACATATTAAATTGTCTTCAGGATGGTACATTAGGAGAAAAATGAGGATGGCAGAAACATGAAATGATCTTACATTTGGACACTGAAAGGAATCTACAAAAGAAATTTTTGGATCCAGGGAAAATCTGGAGTAGCTAGAATCCTTCCTTATTTGGAACCACCATTTTTCAAATTTAATGCTCTGTATATTACTTTTATTTCATTTCTCCTAGACTGGCTGAGTCAGCTTTGAATTTCCAACAAAGTTTTCTTCTGCCCCTCCCATGCAGATGCTAATCCAGGCCATAGTGAATTTCAAAGTGATTTAAACATTTGAGATGGCAAAAATACTTTTATAAGATTCCTCAGGCTTTTCAGAAGCTAAAGTGGTTTTGGGGTTTTTTATTAGGTTATACAATGTTTTCAGGGTCAGAAGTTTTATCTCATGTTGATACTTTTATATTAGATTATAACTTTGCTGAGTCCCCTTATTTTTACAGCCAAATGTTCAGCTGGACTTCACATGGCTGCAGTATGATGCAGAATTGTAAAACGTGGAAGGTGAGACTTTTGTTCAGCAGATCATTTGGAATGCTTATATAAAGAATCTTAAAGTCTTCAATATGAAGGACTATTTATTTTTTTAAATGAGTAGTATTGTAAAAAATCATAAGGCTTTAATTCTACAATGACATAAATATCTTCATCTATATGCATCTATGTAGGTATTTAATAAAAACTTATTGAGCACCAACTATACAAAGCGTACTGGTAAACCAAAATGTAATAATAAATGATACCTAACCTCAGAGATAATATATTCCCCTATCAAAGGTTTTCCTTTTCATAAGAGAGTTTTATATAGACTGTCTTAATTTTTTTTTAAAATATAATCTAATAGATTAGATTTGGAGATTATTAAGAGATTATGTTTTCAGAGCCCCAATGCTATAGAGAATGCTTATATTAATAAAAAGACTGTGGTCCTCAAGGGTAAGAGTGATTAGGAAAGTGCCTTTTCCTATGAAAATTCTGATCCAATGAATACTGAACCCCCTAACAAAGAGGAGTAAGGAATATCATACTGTAAGCCTTTATGAAGTTGTATGAAGAAATAGCATTATTTGGAGATCACAGGCAAAAGTTGTGTTTGTTGATAATAAATGATAAAAATTTGAATTTAAAAATCAATTCCTTACTGTATGGAAGCTATAACTCATTTTTTATTTTTAATTATTATATACATAATAATTGTATATCTTTATAAGGTACAAGTGAGGTTTTGATACAGGCATACAATGTGATTAAGCAAATCAGGATAATTGAGGTATCCATCACCTCAGGCATTTATCATTTCTTTATGTTAGGAACATACCAATTCCATTCTTTTAGTTATTTTAGAGTATACCCTAACTTATTATCAATTATGGTCATTTTGATATGTTATCAAATATTGTTTATTCTACCTAATGATATTTTTGTACCAATTAACCATCCCCACTTTATCTCTCTCCTCCCCACAATTTAAAAAAATAACAATATTTCATTTAAAATATATTTTTATAATATTTTATTAAACCAACCAAACATCTATTAATTTTAGGAGCTTACTAAAGCAACTGTATATTGCTGGCATTTGAGAAAAGTTTGGAAGGAATAGAGGCAAAGCATTTGACATTAAACAAAATGTATTTTTTATATTTAGAGTTAAGCTCAAAATTTCTGTAAGATAAAAAGTAACTATGTCTAAACCTGAAAGTACTATCTGTAAACATTTTCAGTCAGTGATTAAATATTCTTAGTGCGAAAGAAATCTGCTGCTATAAATAGTTATCCCTAAGAGAGCAAATACCTTAGGCAGGCCCGTAGTTCCAGATGTGTAAAGAATATACAGTGGATGTTCCGAAAGAACAGGAACACAGTCATGTGATTGGGCTTTTGCCATCTCTTCATCCCAATCAAGATCACGATCTGGAGCCAAAGGAACCGTCTCCTACACAGCAAAAATACAGCAATATACACTGTAAAAGGATGATTAATCAAAAGAACATAAAGTAGCTAAGTTTAAATAAGTGAGCATCTGTCTGAAAATCTAGGCTATGTGACAGTAAAACATCATCAGATTTATGTCAAAAAAATCTCGAGGTCATGAGTTAAGATAAATTTTTATAAGAAACAAGCAGCTTGATGTTGGTTTCATCTAAATTGACAAAATGAACATGTTTTATTCAAATCTAAGGAGACCCTTAAAATTTCAGAGTTTGACTAACAGAGGTTTATGTTACCATAGATGTATGTACACTAATAACTTTATAAAGTAATTTCTATTTTTCATAATCTATTTCTTTTACTTTAGAAGTGTCATCTTTACAATGAAATGTCAAATACCCATTAAAATTTACCTTCATACAAGGCCATTTATGAGTAATACCACAGCTACCTTTCCAAATGAGGAAATATTACATCTTCTTTAGAGATAGGAGTGAATTTTATTTTTGTTTTTCGAAAACCAAAAGCCAGTTTTGAAATTTAGTCAGAATATGTGATATATCTAAAATGCTATCCAACTTTTCCTCCTAGGTCATTGATTAACGTGGTAGAAATGTTCCATTTGTTTTCTATATTTTTGTTCTCAGAACCAGGCTCTGTGTTGTAAACTTTGTGATAATAGAGTCATTATTTAAACAGACACACCTTTAAAGAAATTAAGCAGACCTCTTTAAAAACAATAGCAATGAAATGGCCAGGCTGGTGAAGAGTAGGCAAGTGGTTTATAGAAAAGTTATTCTATTATGGAGTTAAAGCTACTTAAGTAGAGTTGATATCCATTAAATGTTTAGTTATTTTCTGAAATGTTAAGCAAGCTCAAGATTACATATCAGGAAGTTCATAATTGGTGAACACATTAGGCACAAGCAAGTCTATGAGTTCCCCAGTGAAAGTTAATGAGCTCCATCATCTAGAGAGGTATGTAGCCATTCATTTCACCAAAGTGATCATTGAGCAAAACCCAAAGACCCTGAGAGGTTTAGAAAAGATAAAGCCACTTCCATTTTCCAGGTTGTTAATAAGGGTTGTATAAACTGGTCATATATTTAAATAGGTACATTTAAAAATTAATCCTTCGATATAATATTATAAATATGATGCCTGTATGAATAAACGCATTTATAGATAACAATCAGAATCAAAGACCCTTTATAAAGGTAAAGTTTCAGGCCCAACTAACTTCTCCAGCCTTATTCTGATAGGTACTGGCTGTGTTATTTAGATAAATAAAATAGTTAACAATGACAAATCATATGTTCCATTTAGTTTTATGCATCAGATAAAAGCAACTAATTTTAAATTATCAACTTTTGACATCACAATTAGAGACCTACAAAAACTAATCACACTGCATAATGAAAAATGTCCATTGAATGATCACAAAAATAATTATAGATTGATAATTTTTATTGGCCTCCAGTGAAATCAGGACTTGAATAAATAGTTTATTCTGCAAGCTAAGAAATATAGGAGATTTGACAAAATGAAGAGAGAAAAAAATAAACATGTAGCTTATGAATATATGCATTTACTTCTATAGACATGTATTTCCTAGTTGTTATAATTCTTAAAAGGCTGTATTGAAAGAGCACCAGGGATGACTGATGCGATATTCCTTTGATTCTGTCAATGCATGCCTGAGGCTTAGGAGTGGTGACCAAGTTTGTACCTCCCCTGGCAAAAGTGCAATCCTGGTTAATGAGACACACTGAGCATCATAATTTGTATCTCTCTAAACACATAGTAAAGCCAGTCCACCGGGCTTAATTACTGCCTAAACAGCAGGTCTAATGTAAAGGACAAGAGACTTCTAAAGCCCTCATCTGTGTCACTGCAGAGGAAAGGGACAGGAGAAGAAGGGAGAGGTTGAGAAATTGAGCTAGTCATTGAGAGATCAAGGAAGTGGATCTTTATTAAGGGGAAAGAGCAGAGAACTGCATTAGAAAAATCTAAATAGGGAACATTAACATCCATATCCAATGTGTTTATTTATAGTGAAAGGAATAGCGTACGTATTGTTGGCTGAAAGTCCTTAGACCAGAGTTCAAATCCTGACTCCACTATTTATTAGCTATGACTTTGGGCTATGATCTCTCCATTACTCAGTTTCTTTATCTATAAAATAAGGCCAGTAATAGCATCTATCTATTTCAAAAACCAAAAATCTATTGGTTTTTGAGGATAAGAATTAAATAAGAAAAAATTTTTTTGTTGTTGGATTCTTTCCTGGTTTTGGTATCAGAGTAATATTCGCTTCATAAAAGGTGTCAGGGAGGTTTCCATTCTTCTCGATGTTGTGGAATAGTTTCTGCAAGATAGGTATTAGTTCTTCTTTGTAAGTGTGGTAAAATTCGGGTGTGAAGCCATCTGGACCGGGACTTTTCTTTTTAGGGAGATTTTTAATTGCTGTTTCTATTTCAGCTGTTGAGATTGGTCTGTTCAGGGAATCTATTTCTTCCTGGTTGAGCCTAGGGAGGCTGTGTGTTTCTAGAAATTTGTCCATTTCCTCCACATTTTCCAGTTTGTGTGAATAAATATCTTTGTAGTACTCATAAATTATATCTTGTATCTCTTTGGGATCGGTTGTGATATCTCCTTTTTTATTCCTGATGGAGCTTATTAGAGATTTCTCTTTTCTGCTTTTCGTTAGCTTAGCCAGTGGCGTGTCAATTTTGTTTATTTTTTCAAAGAACCAACTTTTTGTTTTGTTAATCTCCTGAATAGCTTTCCTGTTTTCAATTTCATTTAGTTCTGATTTGATCTTGTTGATTTCACTCCTTCTGCTGGGTTTGGGGCTGGTCTGTTCTTCTTTTTCCAGCTCTTTGAGTCGTTTCATTAGATTGTCTATTTGTGATCTTTTTGACTTTTGATTATAGGCATTTATGGAGATAAACTTTCCTCTCAGAACAGCTTTAGCTGTGTCCCAGAGGAGTTGATAACTTGTCTCTCCATTGTCGTTTTCTTCATAGAAGTTTTTTATTTCCGTCTTGATTTCTTCATTTACGAAGTAATCATTTAGTAGGAGGTTGTTTAATTTCCACGTTTTTGTGTAGAAATGTGAGTTTCTGTTAGGGTTGATTTCTAGTTTTATTCCATTGTGATCTGAGAAGATACATGGTATGATTTCTATTTTTTTAAATTTCTTGAGATTTACTTTGTGTCCTAGGATATGGTCAATCTTAGAGAATGTCCCGTGAGCTGATGAGAAGAACGTGTATTCAGTGGATTTGGGGTAGAATGTCCTGTAGATGTCAGTCAGACCCAATTGTTCTAGAGTTTTGTTTAAGTCCATTATTTCTTTATTAATTTATTTGGAAGTAGTTAGGATTGGGTGTAGTACATCATAAATTCTCTACAAATTCTATATGAATTCACATATGTGTGAATAGCACACATATACTCCCACAAACACATTTTGTGTGTGTGTGTTCCTGCTCTTCCACTAACAATCCCCTACCCAAAGCCTTCTTTATTGCTGACTTTGCATTTCCTGATTTGAACAGCAACATATCCTTTTTCAGAGATATGATTGAGGTCATATGAAAGAAACTTGAAATTCTTCTTCAAGACAGTAAGAACATTAAAATCATTGAGTACTGCAGAACCACAGACTACTAAACTACTAACACTTTACACAGGAATTTAATGTGGTAATGGAATTGCTAGGTGGTAATCAAAATGACATACTTTTAACACTGTCTGTTCTCATATCTTGTCATTTAAGTATTTTCTGAAAATAATCTCAAGAGTTTTTGTACATGATTCTTTGCACTCTTACAATTTCTCTTCTGCAAAAAAAATTTCTGTCTATGAGAAATCCAAGTTGGTCTCATCATAAATAGCTGGAGACTTGCATGGGTATAGAAATCAGGTCAAAGTTACTAGGAAAAGTATTTTAAAATGTATTTGTTGATAGATTATACTGCTTTTTCTTCCTTCAGGGATCATAGAATAATTTACCTGTTTAGAATTTTTATGTTTTGCTTTCCTAAACATAGTTTTATTTTTGGCCTAAATAATAAAATTTTAAAAAGACTTTTTGAATGCAAATTAATCACACCTCTCCAAGAGGCAAGATAGCCAAGGGATTAAGTATGCATGCAGTCAGAGTACATGTGTTCAAATCACTCCTGTCACTTACCAACTGGGTAAGTTACTTTATCTCTATGTTCATTGACTTTCTATTTTTAAAAAAATAGGAATAATAGTATCATCTACTTCATAGAATTACTGGGAAGTTTTAAGAAAATGTTCTTTAGTAGAGTGTCTTAAAAATCATATGGTAAGCAATCAATTAGTGTTTGTTAGTGCTATTATTCTTGTCATAATCTAAACCAAGGGTGGAAAACTGTGGCCTTCTAAGTCCTGAAGTGCAGCCTTTTGACTGAATCCAAATTTTACAGAACAAATCCTTTTATTTTTATTAATACATTTTTTTCATCCTTTATATTTTTAGTTTTAAAATGAAGGTATTTAAAATACCCAGAGAATAAAACATGTTTCAATGAAATAATTCTCCCAGATTGACTGGCACAATTAGAATATTAGGAAGCCATAAGGGCTAAATTTATGGCTCCTACACTCATAGGAGCCATAGTTCTAACTTCCCCCACCCACCATTTAGTTGTAACTTCCCCCACCCAACTAGCACCACTACTGCACGAGGCTGGTTGGTGAGAATTTATGGGGGTCAACTATATCAGTCTGTTATCAGCTTTTGACAATGGTGCACTTTGTTTATGTTCAAAGTGGGATTTCTGAATATTTGCACAGCTTGACAGTATTTTTTAATTCTGCCTGCTTAATAGCCCATCAAGTCCAAGACTAAGAGAATGTGAAGCAAGAAAACAGATTTTTTAATGAGGGTTGAAAATTGCCATATTATCTTGTTTCTGCTAAAGAAAAGATGATTTGTTTGCTTTGTGATACTGTAATATCAACATT